AGTCCACACAAGCCTTTCTTTTTGGAAAGTAAGAAGGTTCCACAAAATATAGAAACCATCTGATATCTGTGTTGATCTCCTGTGAGGGGTGTCAGTGCCTGGTTGGTAGATAGAGTACATGTAGTGGGTTACATTGAAAATGTTTATGGTGATAGAAATAGGGTGCCTTCAATTTCAGTGTATTATTTTTCAATTTTTCTATATTTGTTATTTTCCCAAACTCAAAAACAGTCTGAAGGATTCTGTACTGAGATGTATAGTTTTGAATAGTATTATTTACTCCATTTTCCTTAAATCATAACTTTTTCAGTGCTTCCCACTGTTTAAAGTGTGAGGTTGTGATATCTTGGATGCAGTTAATTGTTATAATATATTCCTTTTACACTTAATAAGAAGATAGTGTTATGTATAAATTATATATGTGGATTTATTTTCTAATTTATAGGAACAAATGTGTTACACGATGAGATACACTCATGCCTTCATTCATACAGCCAACAAATATCTCCTGAGAACTTGTTAGACAGGCAGTGTTGCAGATTGTGGGGCTATCACAGTCATCAAAAGACAAAACCTCTACCCCTGGAGCTTAAGTTCTCTTGGAGAAGATGGAAAACACGTCAATGCATGTGTAACAAGGTCTCAGTGCTGACACATGCAAAGGAGGAAAATGGAGCAGAACATGAAGAGAGGCTAGCTGACAGCATTATTAATATTGGGCAATATCTATTTATCTGTCATAAATTCTACATGTATTGATTCATTTTATACTCTATCAATGTTAGGAGGTACCCATCTTTATAATTATGATAATGAAAGGTTGTTGCTGAACGATAAGACGCTAGGATTCTTGGCCTCTGGAGGAGATACATTCATTCCAGGGCCAGAGACAAGGCTGGATCACTCAGAGCTTTTGTGTAACAGTTTTATTAAAGTATAAAGGAGATAGAGGAAGCTTCTGACATAGGTATCAGAAGAAGGCAGAAAGAGTATCCCCCCCCCCCCCCCCCCCCCCCCGCTAGTCTTCAGCTGGATGTTATATAGTCACTAGCAGTCTGTTAATGAAAAGAAAAGAATGTCTTAAAACTCAGAATGGCACCAGTCCCCTCATCCATAAATTGCATTTTATGATTATCTTGGTACCAGATGATTCATCCCAGGCCATAAAACAATTGACTTGAATCTTGTAGAAGGGCAGATCACCATACAAATAGTTTCATTTACATCGATTAGGGGAACAACATCTGAGTATAACATAATGGTTTGTCAAGTAGGTTGAGCCATTTGGTGGAACCAACTTGAAGACAGAGTCTGGGGTAAATGCATAGTACATTAACATAGCTTAAGACAAATATTTCCATAAGAAAAACTGTATTGGTTAACTCAAGGTTTGAGAATAGTTAGCTTCAGGTGAAACCAGGTGTCATGGTAACACAGCATTTTAAGAGAAACCTCCGTTAAAATTTGTATAGAGAATTAAAAAAATATCAATAGTTTGTTTCCTCCTGCCACTTAAGAGAGTTAAAAATGTCTGGCACTTGCAGCCTATTTCTTCCGTTTGGAGACCCCTGGTCTTCCTGCCTGTTACCCTCACAATAATATAGTCTTAGAGCTTAGGAAGCTAAGGTAAAATAAGTTTAGTAATTTTCCCAGTTGGCAGAGCCAGGCAGGACTTATGCCCAGGCTGTCTGGCTCAGGTCTCTGTTCCCCCCACCCCCGCCCTTTGGCTGTGTTGGTTCTTCATTGCTGCTTGCAGTCTTTCTCTAGTTGTGGCAAACAGGGGCTAATCTTCGTGCCAGTTCACAGCTTCTCACTGACATGGCTTCTCCTGTTGTGACACCTGGACTCTGGAGTGCACAGGCTTCAGTAGCTGTGGCCTGCAGCCTCAGTAGTCGCAGCCTGTGGGCTCTAGAGTGTGGGCTCAGTAGTTGTGGCACATGGACTCACTTGCTCCTTGCCATGTGGATCTTCCTGGACCAGGGATGAAACCTATGTCCTGTGCATTGGCAGGTGGGTTCTTAACCACTGGACCACCAGGGAGTCCCTGGCCTCTGATTTATTGTTTTAAAAGTTTCAAATCACAGGAACATGGAAGGAATATTATAATGAACACACATACACATTCACCTGGATTCATCAGCTGTTAGTGTCTTCCCATATTTTCTCTATCAATATAATCTATATTTTGCTCAATTGTTTGTAAGTTGTAGAAATGTTTATTAAAAGTTGGATTTCACCTTTAAATACAAAAATGTACACCTTGTAAGAACAGGACATTCCCTTATATGTCCTAACACAGTCATGTTAATCAATAAATTTAACAGTAATATTATACTATCATCTAGTATGCTTTCAGATTCTCTAGTTATAGCTCCTAGTTGTTATTGTCTCTACTTCTATTGTCCTTTTTTCCCATTTTAAAACTTAACTATAATTTGATTTTATTATTACATTACATAGGGGCTTCATATTCATATATTCTCATAACCATCCCTGATTTATACATGAAGACAGAGTCTCAGAAATTAACACTTTTTGAAAAACATTTCCCCTCACAACCCTTTTTCCTCATGAAGCAGATATGGACAAACTCGAAGGAAAGTATAAAATCAAATAAGTGATGAGATGTCATCCAAGTCAGAGGCAAGTGTGAGTCAGGATGTCAGTCTTAAGCAAGTCCAACCACTTGCACCACAATCCAAATCTTACCCTTTAGATTTTGTGTACTTTTCATGGTAACACTACCTAAAAATATCATATTTAATCCTAACTCAGAATTCCCTTTTCATGGGATCAGAGTCCCATCTGGAACACAATTCAGGTTCACATTCATAGATGTGCTCTAGCATTTAGGATACCTGAAAAATGAAAAATTGAAAACACTGCTTACTCATCCTTGGTGTGTTGTTATCTGACATTGTAAAGTGTCAAATAATTTATCAACCATCACTCATCAATCTATTGGTCTCTTAATTTGGAGTGTATTTCTTCTTTGTTCTTCAAGTAAAGCCTGAGTTTGGTTCTTGCTCTATAGTACTTTTCCAAATTAAATATTTATAGAACTGATCCCTACCACCAAATGTGGTTTCAGATTATCTTTGGCAGTTAAAAGTTTGTTTTTTCTAATCTTTGGAGTATAACTTTATGAAGATAGATTAATATAAACATTACCTATATCCATATTCTGGGGGAAATAAGATATTGTGTCTTACTTTTCATGAGTTTTCATTCACTGCAAGACATTTATGACACCGAGGAAAATGCCCTTGATTGGTCCATTATTTATAGGATTAAACTTGGAAAAGAACCATCACCAGAGCAGGTTCCAGGATTACTAATGTATAAGGTGCAGTTTGCCATTGTTTGAATTTGTGTATTTTCAGTTCAGTTCAGTCACCCAGTTGTGTCTGACTCTTTGTGACCCCATGAACCGCACCACGCCAGGACTCCCTATCCATCACCAACTCCCGGCGTCTCCCCAAACCCATATCCATTGAGTCAGTGATGCCATCCAATCATCTCATCCTCTGTCATTCCTTTCTCCTCCTGCCCTCAATCTTTCCCAACATCAGGGTCTTTCCCAGTGAGTCAGTACTTCACATCAGATGGCCAAAGTATTGGAGTTTCAGCTATAGCATCAGTCCTTCCAATGAACACCCAGGACTGATCTCCTTTAGGATGGACTGGTTGGATCTTCTTGCAGTCCAAGGGACTCTCAAGAGTTTTCTCCAATGCCACAGTTCAAAAGCATCAATTCTTTGGTGCTCAGCATTCTTTATAGTCCAACTCTCACACCCATACACGACTACTAGAAAAACAATAGCCTTGACTAGATGGACCTTTGTTGACAAAGTAATGTCTCTGCTTTTTAACATGATGTCTAGGTTGGTCATAACTTTCCTTCCAAGGAGTAAGCATCTTTTAATTTCATGGCTGCAGTCACCACCTGCAGTGATTTTGGAGCCCCCCAAAATAAATTCAGCTAGTTTCCACTGTTTCCCCATCTATTGCCATAAAATGATGGGACCAGATGTCTTGATTGTAGTTTTCTGAATGTTGAGCTTTAAGCCAACTTTTTCACTCTCCTCTTTCATTCTCATCAAGAGCCTCTTTAGTTCTTCTTTACTTTCTGCCATAAGAGTGGTGTCATCTGCATATCTGTGGTTATTGATATTTCTCCTGGCAGTCTTGATTCCAGCTTGTACTTCCTCCAGCCCAGTGTTTCTCATGATGTACTCTGCATATAAGTTAAATAAGCAGGGTGCCAATATGCAGCCTTGACGTACACCTTTTCCTATTTGGAACCAGTCTGTTGTTTCCATGTCCAGTTCTAACTGTTGCTTCCTGACCTGCATACAGATTTCTCAAGAGGCAGGTCAGGTGGTCTGGTATTCCCATCTCCTTCAGAATTTTCCACAGTTTATTGTGATGCACACAGTCAAAGGCTTTAGCATAGTCAATAAAGCAGAAATAGATGTTTTTCTGAAACTCTCTTGCTTTTTCGATGATCCAATGGATGTTGGCAATTTGATCTCTGGTTTCTCTGCCTTTTCTAAAACCAAATGTGCTGGTAAGATTTTATCTTCAGAGAAAAAGACTTACTGTAAACATTTTTGAAGTTTTTTTTTAGTGTACCAACTCCTATGCAAAATGAACTTTGGGAAACTTGACTCAACCACAAAGATTGTTTTAACTTTTCTGTTTAAACCACATTGGGAGAAAAAGCTTCATTTTTTGAGAGACTTCCTTAACTAACACCTAGGTGGGGTTTCTGGAAGATGTCCTTTGGCAGGGATGGTGGACATTGATTTCTTTCTGTCCTGACTTGACTCCACCATCTTTCTCAGTGAATGCTCTTTGGAAAGAGCTCTCCCCATCACCTGGCTGTACATGTAAGATACATAAGAAGTCCTGAGGATGTCAGGGTTCTAATGTGTAAGAGGCTTGTCTACTTCAATAACAGCTTGCTTAGGAAAATGTCATTCTTTCTGTATCCACAGGTGCAACTTAAAGACAACATCGAACATCTTCCTGGTAAAATGAATACTGAATTAGCAGAATCTGGGTTGAACTTGAGTGTTGGACAGAGACAACTGCTGTGCCTTGCTAGGACTATTCTCAGGAAAAATCGGATATTGATTATTGACAAAGCCACATCAAATGTGGATCCAAGGTATGGAGCTGAGATCCAGGATACCTTGAATCTGAATCCTTGAATTCTAAAGGTGGTAAATAGAAAACATTTAGTGATGCTTAGAAATGTTTCTAAGTGTTCTCTTGGCCTCATGGATATTTCTTGATAATATTAATTCCAGAAAACAAAGGAGAAACCAAGACATGTTATATAGGGTTAATGTTGTTATGAGGCATCCCGAGAGAGCTAGATTCCTAAATCCAGCTCATAATCTCAAGCAATTTTGAGGGAAGACTATTTTCCATTTTTGAAAAACAGTAAATTTCTAAATAGACTTTTTATACTTAGTTTTTTTTTTTTAGGAACATGATTATACATTAAGGTACTGAATTTTAAAAACATAATAAAAATATCATGATACTTTAAATTATAAGTCTGCTTTTCTGTCTTTACTGAACTAAATCAATTTCTTTGATTCTAGAACTGATGAGTTAATACAAAAAAAAATCCGTGAGAAATTTGCTCACTGCACTGTGCTAACCATCACACACAGGTTGAGCAATGTCATCGACTGTCAACGGGTATCGGTAAGACTCTCACCATTTTAGTTGATTTCAATTATGTTCAATTCATCAATGTATCCTTCCTTGTAAAACTTGATAGGAACATCCAGTAATGTAATTTTCTTAGTTTCGCCTCTCTTTCCTGAAAATTGTTGTTGTTCAGTCACTCAGTCATGTCTGATTGTTTATGACCCCCATGGAGTTCAGCATACCAGGCCTCCCTGTGCTTCACTATGTCCCAGTTTGTTCAAACTCATGTCTGTTGAGTCTGTGACATTGTCCAACCGCCTCATCCTCTGTCGTCCCCTTCTCCTGCTTTCAATCTTTCCAAGCATCAAAGTCTTTTCCAATGAATCAGCACTTTGCATCAGGTGGCCAAAGTATTGGAGCTTCAGCTTTAGCATCAGTCCTTCCAATGGATATTCAGGCTTGATTTCCTTTAGGATTTACTGGTTTAATATTCTTTCAGTCCAAGGGACTCTCAAGAGTCTTCTCTATCACCACAGTTTGAAAGCATCAATTCTTTGGTGCTCAACCTTCTTTATGGTCAAACTCTCACATCCGTACATGACTATATGGAAAAACCATATAGCTTTGACTAGACTTGTCATCTCCATATCGGAGGTTATTGATATTTCTCCCGCCATTGATCCCAGCTTGAGCTTCATCCAGCCCGACATTTTGCATGATGTACTCTGCATATATATTAAATAAGCAGGGTGACAATATACAACCTTAACATGCTCCTTTCCCAATTTGAACCTTATTTGTATTTCTTCCTTTAGAAATAGACATCCCTTTTTTTTATTGTACTTCCCAGATACTGCATTTTTGCAAATTGAGAGCTTATCATAACCCTGCATCGAGCAAGTCTATGGGTGCCATTTTTCAAACAGTATTTTCTCATTCCAATTCTCTGTCTCACCTTTTGATAATTCTCATTATATTTCAAACTTTTTCACAATCATTATAGTTTCTCTGGTGATTTGTAACATCAATGTTACTGCTATGACTTGCTGAAGTCTCCTCTGTTGGTTAATATTTTTTTTAGGCAATGCATTGTTTTTAGGCTAAGGTCTCTACATTGTTTTCTCAGACATAATGCTATTGCACACTTGATAGGCCAGTGTCATGTAAACATAACTTCTGTATGTTCTGGGGAACCAGAACATTCATGATTTACTTTACTGCCCTATTCACTTCATTCTTGTGTTCTGGGACTGTACCCATACTGAGGGATGACTGTACCTCTTTCCTTTCTGGAAAAGAGATGACTGTCTATTTTGAAAGCTTTAATGTGGATATAAAGACGAGTCAATCTGCTTCAAAGCCTGATGCTCCAGAGGGCGGGTGACCAGCCTCAAGGAATAGCTGGGGAAGTGACAGATGCTGACGAAGGGCATAACCGACAGTGATGTCACCATAAAGTCCTATCATTGCAAGTGATAAGGTGTAAAAATTACATTTTATTACACGTGAATACTTCTGCAGAAAGATATATATTTTCTTAATTCTATTTTTAATTGAATCTAATCCATAAAAATATATTTTGTTATAAAAAAGCAATAAATGTACAAGGTAAAAATAGGAAAATAAAAGAAAATCTCATAAAGGGAAGTTTACAAAATTCCCACTACCAGAAAGTGGAAGTTATATAGTGCTATAATATTATTTGGATAACATTAGAGCCATTTTAAAATTTGTTTTATTCTGCAAAACAGAATATTTCATTACCAGAATTTTTATATATTCTTAAAATTCTCCATGTCATTTATTAATTTTCCACAGCTCAGTTCTTAAAGCTGCCTAAAATTTCATCACAGGGATAGAGCATAATTAATCTCAAACTTAGACATCTATATATTTTCCAAATTGTCACTTTTATAAAAAATCTTGAAATGATTAGATGGATGTGATTTTATTCACTGTAAATAAATCAGAGAAAGGGCTTGTTGGGAAACAAGTGTGACTTAATTAATAGCTTTGTTTATGTGTTGTCTCTCCAAAGGGATTTACCCTGCTTTGGTTCATTAAGCACCATTCATGTGTCAGGCTTAGAATTCTATTTCACAAAGAAGTTCTCTCAATATTTATTAAACATGAGGGAGTCATAATGACATCTAATATAATCTTCCTTACTTTCTCTGTTGCCACAAAACAGTGGAGCAAGACAAACAAATTAGAAATGCTCTTTATCCTAAGACTGACCACTCTCTCTACACTAGAGGGTTCTTCCTATAGTTTTTTTAGAGTAGCTGGGTGCTCGTTATCTGCTTTCTCTGCAGCCAACAGCCCAGCTCTTCCCTGCAGTCTCTGCATACTGTCGCCTTCATATCACCCAGATTCTCCTGTTGGTGTGAACAAAGGAAGCATGTGACAATCTGCAGTTGCTCTAACACTGTTGTCTGTGGTCAACCCTTTCACTGTCCTCAGTTAGAGAATTCTCTGGAAATGAATGATACAGAACCAAAAGCAGAGCTGAGAAACTCAGATCCCACCTCTTCTGTTTACAGTCCCTCTCATGGTTTTATATTCTTTATTTCTTCATCATCTAAAACCTCTTAGAATTTTCCCCACAGAAGTGAAAATCAGAAACGATTGTAACACCCCCACCTGAAAAGCATAAAACAGCTCAACTTAACTAGAGTTTTATGTAAATTCTATTTTTCACCTTAATGGAACTTTTCTTTCATAAACCTACATGCTGCAATTCCAACATTTGAGAAGAGAAAAGCTCCTTCAAAAACACTCCAAGAGATTTCACTCAAGTTTTCAGAGAAAAGATAACACTGAGGTAGAAAGTACAGTTGGGGAGAAGAAATACTTTATGAGGGGGGCGTTTGTGTGCAAAGGCAGCAGCTTTGGGAGAGTGGCTGTGGAGGTCACCCTGACCCAGCCTTCGCCCCTCCCCTGTGAGAAGAATGATTTATTGTTCCAAGACCCAAGACAGGATTTTGAGTTAACACTTGCCATAATGTCCAGTCACTGAGAAAATCACAGGCACCCATTTTACCAATGAGGACTCACCTTCCAGGGTTGGACAGCTGTCCTGTGTCATCACCTGGCAGCCAGAGATAGATCTGACACTCAGATCTCCCCCTCCCCACTCTACTTGTTGGTCAGTGGGATCTCTCTCTATTGTTGTCATCATTTCCCAGCGTCTTTCTTATCAGGCTTTTCCTCCATCCTTTCCTGGGCACCACCGCCTTTTGGTGCATTCACCCACCTCTCCCTGCATTCTTCTTTATCACTGATATATCCTGACAGTGAAAATGGATCAGATTATCTTTCAGTGAGTCCATTTCATTTTTATTTCTAGGACAGCTGTCTGGAATATCTGCACATAAACAGGCTTCATAAACACATCTTCACTGAGCTTATGTAACTGACTTACTCATCCAACATAATGTATTTTTACTTAACCTACTAGAGCTTTATAAGCAATTCAGGGTTGGGGTTCCTGGAGAGATCCTAGGGTTCGGGGATTGTTATCATACCAGCTTGAATATGTGGCTTACTTTACAGTTTATCTTGGGTTGTGAGAAGAGTTGGGGACCTAATGGAAGATTGTAGGAGCTTTTTCTTATAAGTGATGTTAAAAATCCAAAATTATACCTATTTTTCGGTACATAACGAGAATTTGGCTTTGCTTTATGTTTATTTGTTCTGAAATATCTAGAGTCTTTGACCAAACCAGTAAATGTAAAGGCTCAGCTGGTAAAATCCTATTTCTGGCCTTTTTTTCAGTCTGTGTCCCATCTCAGCTCTTGTAGCCCCTACATGAGCCTTGGCTTTTAAGTTTGATTAGGTTCCATTGGTTTTTGTTTCTTTTTCTTTTGCTTTGGGAGACTAATCTAAAAAAAAAAATATTGCTGTGATTTATGTCAAGGAATCTTTTGCCTGTGTTTTCATTTAGTTTTGTCATTCCCAGTTTTATATTAGATCTTGAAGCCATTTTGACTTTATTTTTGTGCATGATGTGAGGGAGTGTCTAATTTCATATATTTTCAGGTGCTCAGGTTTCCCAGTACTATTTACCATAGGAACTGACTTTTCTCCAATTCTTGTGTACTGTTTCATAGATTAATTGACCTAGATGTGTGGAGACCAGTGTTTTAAAACTGCGGTTTTTCTTCTTCAACGTCAGGAGCGGTAGTTATGTTCTGTTATGCTATGCTTAAGTAGAACTACACATTTGAGATATCTAAATTGACATGCCACATTACAGGGCTTCCCTGGTAACTCAGATGGTAAAGATTCCACATGCAATGCAGGAGACCTGAGTTTAATCTCTGGGTCAGGAAGATCCCCTGGAGAAGGAGATGCCTACCCACTCCAGTATTCTTCCATGGAGAATTCCATGGGCAGAGGAGCCTGGTGGACTACAGTCCCATAGGGTCATAAAGAGTCGGACATGACTGAGCAACATTCACCGAACATTTAAATTATTATGCAGATGTGAAAGTGAAAGTTGCTCAGTCATGTCTGACTCTTTACCATCCCATGGACTGTAGTCCACCAAGCTCCCCTGTCCATATGATTTTCCAGGCAAGAATACTAGAATGGGTTGCCATGCCTTTCTCCAGGGGATCTTCCCAACCCAGGGATCGAACCTGTGTCTCTTGTGTCTCCTTCATTGCAGGCAGATTCTTTACCCACTGAGTTACTTTGAAAGCCCATTAAGTAGATGAAACAGATTTGATTATTCTTGGACTCTTTTGAGAATGCTGCCCTTAACAGTGATTCACAGTAGTAAACAAGTGATTAACAGGAAAATGGCATTTATGAGACTAATAAATGTTTCCAATTAAATGCAAAGGATTAAATTTAATGTAGTACCTATATTTTGAAAAAAAAAAAACAAAACTATGTCTTGTTTAGAGTTCCTGCATATTTTGTTCTTCTATAAAAAACAACTTTTATTTATTTATTTTAGGCTATACTGGATCTTCCTTGCTACACTGACTTTTCTCTAGTTGCAGCAAGTGGGGGCTACTCTTCATTGCCATGTGCAGACTTCTCATTGCATGGGCTCTCTTTTCGCGGAGCATGGGCTTTAGGCATGTGGGCTCAATAGTTGAGGCTCCCGGGCTCTAGACCACAGGCTCTGTAGTTACAGCACATGGGCTTAGTTGCTCTGTGGTATGTGTGACCTTTCTGGAGCAGGGATGGAACACAAGACTCCTGCATTAGTAAGCAGATTCTTTTACCACTGAGCCACCAGGGAAGCCCATCCAGCATATTCTCTTAATATGCATTTATTCCATATTTATGCATTATGTATGCATTATCCTGTAAATATGCACTTATTGCATATTTATGACCTAAATGAAGAATTATGACCTAAATGAAGAATTAAATACCACTGAACATCAGAACTGTTTTATAATTATATCACTTGGGCCAATTGTTTCAGACACTTTTTCCCCATCCAGAACCATTAACCAAAGTCACTTATTAATAAGTACAAAGGCAGAGTGAAGGACCCCTTCCTCTCCCTTTCAGTTTGCATTTAGCAGACTCACTAATGAGCAATAAAACGGGTGAAAGGAAAGCAGCTGAAGAAAGAAAGTGAAACAAAGAAAGAAAGATAATTTGTGGAAACAGATCCAGATCCTAGGCAGTTCAGGTTGGGTTGGCCCCATGTGCTCTGTAGGCCATGATCACTGGAATTCAGAGCTCAATTTCTTACTTGCTTCTTTAGTCTTATCCAGAGAGAAAACTGGATTTCTAGAGATTTCTTCCATGCAGAGCAGTTTTGCAAAAGCTGCTATGTACCAGTTCCTTTTGCAGCCTTTCACTCTCAGAAGAATAAACTACAACCACATCCAGCTTCAAGAAGCATCTCAACCCCTTGGACAAGGATTCTGTTCCTCTTCGAAGCTGACATAATCCAGGACCCTTAAGAAATTCTGGAAGCATTTGCTTTTTTCCCCGAATATTGCTCAGATTCTCAGATCGACCATTAATTTGTTGTCAGGGCACTGCCTTCTGGTTTATATGACATCAACCTACTTTTTAGGTAAATGGAGTTTGATTTTCTTGAAAGAAGATATTTGCCAACTCTGTGTACCTGTATAAATTGCCTCAAAGGTCAGAGTCTGAGAGCTAAAAGTGCTAACTAATGATAACAACCCCAAATGCCCTGAATATAAAATATGATGCTATAGAGTACCAATAGTCATAGTCTAAAGCTTATAGTTTTTTTCTTTCCTATAACATTATAATATTAAAAGGTCAGGTTAGGCCTTTGTCTTCCTAGTAAAACAAATTAATCAAACTATTAAAACACCAGCCAGTCCTACCACCCAAATAGATTTGCTCTGTTTCCCTATCCTGCCACTTTTTGAAATACTGTCTGAGTTATAATATGTTACTGGGAGACATTATGTACTAATGGGTTTCTTCTTGCTGTTTACAGGTTTTGGATTCAGGGAGATGGAAAGAAACTGGTCAGCCAAATGATTTGCTGCAGAATAGAAACAGTCTATTTTACAAAATGGTGCAACAACTGGGCAAGGAGGAAGTAGCTGTCCTCACTGAAAGGGCAAAATAGGACAGGGACTTGTCGTTAAAGTTTTCCTCCATGTTCACTCTTCACAAGATCTCCACCAGGGGTCTGATAACAAACACTCTGTGCCCTTATAAACCTCCAGAGACTAAGCTTCATGATTGGGTCTTAACAACACATGGTGGGTTAAGAGCAGGTCTCCTGAGAATCTGCAGCAGTGGTGGGGGTGGGTCAGGATGTGTGCACCCTTCTGTGAGCACACACCTGTGCCTGTGACAGAGATGTCAGATTGGACTTTGCACATTTCTGGACTCTGGGTTCAGATTCTCATAGAGCACAGAACACTGTCATTTTGCAGACCCTTTACATTCATTCTGATTGGTGCTCAGCATATTTGTGATGCAAGTTCTGTCAAGGAGTATCCAGGAAATTTGAGAGTTCAGGGGGTAATTTTTTGAAATATTTTGATTCTAGAAGATCTTCCAGGGAAAGGTGTAGGTCTCTTCTGTTTTCTAATCTGTAAAGAAAACTTCTACATGATACTATCAATTTCTCCCTAATTCTTTGTTGTTTAGACTTAGGTGCATTTGCCACTCACCACCCCTAGGCTTCCTCTACCTTCTAGAAAATGAAATTGTCATCAGGACAAATCAAGAACTCACAATACCTTCACACTGTAGTCTGAATGGTGCTTGAAGGTTTACAGAGCACTTTCTCAGAGATGAGGTATGTGAAGGACTAAGCACTGTGCATGGTGTGAGGAAGGGGCTCGATGGGTAACATTCAGATCACGTGACATCTTCCAAACAAAAGTGAGATGGTAACTGAGGTCTAGTTTAGGAGACTTAGCCATTGTCATACAGCCATCTGTAAGTCTTTCTGGAACAAGATGGGAGTGGGAATAGGGTTAATGGGAAGATGGAAGGAAGGAAAGTCTGGTGTTTTTTACCCTTGACATGCAGTGTTTGGGGTGGGATGAGGCTTCCAGTTGCCTGTGGTGAGAAAATTGATCTCTGAGTATTAAATTATGGGTATATTTTCTATTCTTCATACTTTGGTGCATTTCCCAGATTTTCACTTGTAAGTAAAATAATATTACTAGTGTAATATTTTAAATGTCTTAAAGAAAACATGTCCCAGTATCTTAAGTACTACTATGTGAAACATTTACCTAAAATGTGGCCTTAGTTCATCACTGTCTCATCTCAACCCTCCTTAGAAATGAGGAAATGCAGAGCAGGACCTTCCACTGCTCATAGTGTAGGAGACTCCCTGGGTTGCAGAGCTGTCTGAAGAGGTGGCAGAGTTATAGTTTGTACTTAGGTTTAGGGACAAGGAAGTCTGTATTCTGAACTTTTCCGAAGTACTTATATTGTATGCAACTATAGAGTGTGTGTGTTAATCATCAAGTCATGTTTGACTCTGCAACACCATTGTCTGTAGCTTGCCAGTCTCCTCTGTCCATGGAATGTTGCAGGCAAGAATACTGGAGTGAGTTGCCATTCCCTTCTCCAGGGGATCTTCCCAACCCAGGGATCGAACTCCAGTCTCCCACACTGAGGATGAGTTCTTTACCATCTGAGCCATATATCACCCTATATATTTTTTAATGCCTGAAATCCACAGAGGACTTTCATTAATTCGAGTGTCTGCCAGTCATTGAAGACTTGATAAGCATTTGTCATTTTCTGTGTGACCAAATCACAAAAAGCCAGAAATCTCCCAAACCCTTTTGGTCTTTCCACCTTAGGCATTTCACATCAGAAAGAGGTATACCCACCTGTGTCAAAGTCTTCATTTAAACACTGTTATCTTTATGTATTATCAAGACACTGAGTAATGAGAAGTAGATCACAGAACTTCTGATAGGTCCAGATAACATAAGATAGTAGGTTTCAACAACCTCATTTTACAGGTGATGAAACTAAGGCCCGTTAGAAGGAAGGTGGCCCTGTGTATATAATTAGTGTTAAGTTAGTTTGCAGCAGATACAGAATTAGAAATCTTTTCTTCCAGTAAATGTTTTAAATCAAGTATAGCATACATATAAAAACAGACATGGGTCATAGAATTAGAAATCTTGTGCTTCCTGGTCTAGTAATCCTGCACCTACTCTAACAATATTCAGGGTAAGTTACATTTGCGTAGTTCTTCCTAATTTATTTTACATTGTTCTCACATGTATGATATCATGTAATCTCATGATGGTCCATTTTTATCCATGTCATGGATGAGGAGAGTGGGTCCAGGGCTCACCTAAGGTCACAAAGCTGGTTCAGGGAGCACAGAGGGGCAATTGCTCGGCGAGGCTGAGGGCCACCCTAGGTACTGTGTTCTGTGTCAAGTCTGAGAACACTGCTTCTTTCACGTGGTAGCCAAGGTGGGGTGATCATCCAAGTTCACAGAGTGGCAGAACCTCACTCCTGAGTTGCAGTCCTGCTACTGGGTAAGGTCACCTCTATGGAAAAAAAAAAATGCATTTCTTGATCCTCATCCCAGTTGAACATCTTCTTGACATTCATTCTGCATACTCTGCATCCTCTTAGATAAGCTGTCAGATTATCAGTTTTTTGGATGTGCAAGCATCAGATACCAATGCATTATTCACAGCTATAACACCAGGAGCATTGGCCTAAGTCAACAAAATTTTCACTCTAATAGAACAGAATTCATTCATCTGAAAAGAAAACTCAACAGCTGGGAAAAGGTGCTTCCAAGTCACATTTTTTAAAATACATAGTTCAGGTGAGCTGAATCACTGTCTGATTGACCCTTTTAGATGATCCATGAAATAGCAGAGAAATTACCTTTCAGATGCACAAAGCTGAAGGGGCATTAGTTTGCTAGGACTGCCATACAAAATACCACAGAGTAGATGACTTAAACAACAGAAATTTATGTTCTCACAGCCCTGGAGGATGGATGTCTGAGATCAAGGTGTCAGTAGGGTTGGTTTCCTCTGAGGTCTCTCTCCTTGGCTTGGAGACGCTGTCTTCCCTCTGTGTCTTCACATGGCCTTCCCTCTGTTTGTACCTGTGTCCTGATCTTCTCTTCTTGTAAGAACTCCAGTCTATTAGATTAGAACCCACCTGTTTGACTTCATTTTAACTTTTTTGCCTCTTTAAAGACCATCTCTGAATGCAGTCACATTCTGAGGTACTGGCAGGTTTAGGACTTCAACATGTAAAATTGGAAGGGACACAATTCAATTCAAACAAAGAATAAATACCTGTCATTCATTCTGTTCTGTGATGAAGCAGATCTGGTTGAGGTTTTTTTTGAAGTTTCTTTGCGCCTGGTATGTAACACAGGTGTTATTTTGTCTATTCATAAAATCACTTAATACAGCCCAGAAGTTACAAAATCCTGATATCCTAGTTCTAGGTGCCTGGACCAGTTTGAATAGATGGAGGAGGCATTTAGCATCCATGTGGCCTTGTGTGCCCTGAGGCCTCTGAACCTCATGCCCTCACCTGTGTGTAGAGCAGTGATTACAGCTCTGCCAGTTTCTTCACACTCATTACATGGATCAGATGAGAGAGCAGATGCTTAAATGCTTTGAGACTATAGAGTGTTTTACAGTATAAAAGTGGGATCATTTTTCCAACCCACAAAATGGGAGAAAATCATAGCAAATGAAACTACCTGACAAAGGATTAATTTCCAAAATATACAAGCTGCCCATGCAAGGCTTCCCTAGTGACACAGACAGTAAAGAATCTGCCTGCAATGAGAGAGAACCCTGCAATGTGCAAGACCCAGGTTCAATCCCTGGGTCAGGAAGATCTTCTGGAGTAGGAAATGGCAACCCACTTCAGTATTCTTGCCTGGAGGTTCCCATGGACAGAGGAGCCTGGTGGGCTACAGTCCATGGGGTCGCAAAGAGTCGGACACGACTGAGCAATTAACACTTCCACACTTCCATGCAAGTCAGTTCCAGAATATCAAATAACCCAATCAAAAAGTGGGGAAAAGACATAAGCATATATTTATCCAAAGAAGACATACAGATGGCTAACAAACACATGAAAAGATGCTCAACATTGCTCATTGTTAGAGAAATGCAAATCAAACCCACAGTGAGATATCACCTCACACCCATCAGAATGGCCATCATCAAAAAGTCTATAAACACTAAATGCTGGAGAGGGTGTTGAGAAAATGGAACCCTCTTTCACTATTGGGAATGTAAGTTGATTCAGCCACTATGGAAGACAGTATGGATATTCATCAAAAAACTATGAATGAAACAACCATATGACCTAGTAGTCCCACTGCTAGGCATATATTCTGAGGAAACCAAAATTGAAAAAGACATGTGTACCCCAATGTTGTAGCAGCAGTGTTTACAATAGCTAGAAGCAACCTAGATGTCCATCGACAGATGAATGGATAAAGAAGCTGTGGTACATATACACAGTGGAATATTACTCAGCCATAAAAAGGAACACATTTGAGTCAGTTCTAATGAGGTGGATGAACCTAGAGTGTATTATATAAAGTAAGTCAGAAAGAGAAAAACAAGTACCATATACCAACGTGTATATATAGAATCTAGAAAGATGGTACTGATGAAATTATTTGCAGGGCAGCAATGGAGACACAGACATAGGGAACAGACTTATGGACCTGGTGGGATGGGGGGAGGAAGGAGAGGGTGGGATGTATGGAGAGAGTAACATGGAAACTTACATTATGGAATGTAAAATAGATAGACAGTGGGGATTTGCTGTATGACTGGGAACTCAGACCTGGGCTCTGTAACAATCTAGAGGGGGGGATGAGAAGGGAGGTGGGAGGGAGGTTCAAGAAGGAGGGGACATATATATACCTAAGGCTCATTCATGTTGATGTTTGGCAGAAACTAACACCATTCTGTAAAGCAATTATCCTTCAACTAAAAAAAATTAAAATTAAAAGGGATCATTTCGTAAAGGCTGTAGTCAGAAGCCTTGCCTCCCAATAATAAAACAAATATACCCATAGTACTTCTAAATAGCTTCAGAGACTCTAAATCAGGGATCTGCAACCACTGGACCACAGAC